AGCTAAAGCAATTGGATGTACAGTAGTCAACATTGGAACTCAAGATCTCATTGAAGGAAGGGTATGTTTGAGTGCTATGTGGTCTCTACATTAAAGCCTTTCTATTTCTCAACAACTGGATCACTGTGATAATGAATCTCAGAATTAATTATTATATTAGACTTAGGATGTGCCTCTTGCAAGGTAGTGTTGCTAGGTTTCGTCATATTTAAGATATTTTATTTCACTGTCATAATCTAAGAAATTGTAGATCCATGTTATGCCTTTCTGTCCACATCACGAGCTCTAAGGTGGATTATAATTTTTTTTATTAGAGTTAGATCTTAATGTTCTTTCTCTCTTAATGTTTATAGTCCCACCATATATCTGAATTAAAAATATTTATAGTTCCACCATATATCAGAATTAAAAATATTTATAGTTCCACCATATATATGAATACAATCACATGATATGGGTAAAACAATCACAAAACAAAGATTGAACTTACACCAATTTTCCTTGCCTCATCACTGACAAAAGCTCCATTGGTCTTCTTATGAGTAGCTATCCAAACTTCTCTCTGCTAACTTTGTGCCCACACTCTTTTTCCTATGAAAATTAACAAATGCTTATTAGGTATGTCATAAATATTATAAGAAACAGAAAATTGAAGATAAATAACACTTCACAATTTCTTCCCTCTTCCTTGCAATGCTCTTGGATCCCCCTGTGTGAGCAAGAGTTTGTTTTGTCCTGTTGTGCTTATTTTTCAGGGCAATCTCCTAACATTGTGATAAAAAAAAGTTATTAAATCATAACAAAATTTTATGAAAAGAAATATAGGTTTCACTTTTGTTCTTTCATCAAGTCGATAGTCAACAAAAGAAGCCCAATAATCTCTATCTATGCCTTCTGAAGCCATGGCAATCAATTCATCTCTAGTACGCGTGCCATCATCTCTTTGTTGCCACAATTCTTGCCGACAATCTCTCCATTTATGATTAAGCGCTTTCAAGATGTAATTGATTTGAATATCGAAATTCACTACAAACTTTACCTTCAAAACAAATTTTAATAAAAAATTAACAACAATTACCCGATAAATAAATTTTGGATGACTTCTTTGTAATGGTATTTTGAATTTACATTACTTACTTGAATGGTATTTTGAATTATGTCTTCTTTGCAATTTTTAGGAATCTTCTTCCAAGTAGAATAACAAATAGGGAATACCTTTAAGTTTCTAGCGATACTTCCCAAGAATTGATTCAATAATGCGCCACCATCTCCAATTGGTTGATATTCCTCATTCCAATGTACAATAATCCTTTCATTTTGAGGCAAATTCCAAACATCATTTGTTTTTAAGTGTTTGGTAGTCATCTTACATTGGTCATCTGTGAAGAAAGAAAATTTGTGTCAAATACTCTTATGTCAAACAACTTCAACAGTAACTATTCATATAAGTAACATAATGAAAGCATTAATATGTTGAACTTGTGTCTTACCAATAACATCAACCAACCATGCTACCTTGTGTGTTGGTGGCCTTTCTTGTTCAACTTCCAACAAAGTATCCTAATTTTCATCTTATTCATGTTCATCTTGTACATGAGAATTTCCTCCTACTTGAGGTGGTGAATGAAGAGCATCTTCATTTGAGGGCTACACAAATGAAGATATATTAATTATAGTGGCCTACTTCTTTAAATTCGCATTTAAAATCAGTACATCAGATCAACATTGACTTAAACTTGTCCTATGTAAAGTGAAGTTTGGATTCCAATGAATAAACTTTATATTAATTTTGTGAGGATTTAGTAGAAATAAACTTTATCTTGTTACCCTAATTCAGCCAAAAAAAAACATTCTTTTACAATTTCATAGTATGCAATCACGGAAGAGTATTTGTGAGGATTAACTCACTAAAAATGTTATTAAAGTTTTGAAATCATCTAATATTGTTGGATATATCAAGATTGTCTAATGGTTTAAGTGTTTTATCTTGACTAGTGCGTCTCACTTTTAGAGTGACTAATGATATCAATTTGTCTCTATTGTATTTACTCTATTGTAGATAATGTCTTCATCCCACATCTACTAAGAATATCTTGTAAAGTTCATTTTTACATCACGATCTCTTAAAAATGTTATGGAGTGAGGATTTAAATTTTGAAGTTCTTTTAGAAGTGAGAAAAGAAGAGTGGTGGAAATGAATGGCTTCCATCCTCTGACATCCCCTAAAGTTTATAAACTGATATTTGTATAGTGAAGCTACCAATAATTACTATTTATATACTTTGCCCTCACACTCCTTTCTTTCCTCACAATCCTATTTTGCTTAGTTGTCTTCTGTCATTCTAATTATTTTATCCTTTTCTGTTTACAGTTTTATTAAAAATTATTTCTTTTCTACTGTAAGAGGAATCTTTGTATTAATTAATTTAATAACTTCACACAAATTAACAAAGTTAAAAGGGAAATATCATTTAATAATAACACTAGAAGGAAAATAAATTGGCAACATGTTTAATACAGTTTTGGAAGAACATAAGCAAACAAAAGATGAGGAAACATACATAGTGATGAAAAGGGAACAATAAATTAATTATTGAAGGAAACAAAACACTTACATTAACTTGAACTGATGACTAAAAAAATGCATCTGGGGACTGAATAGGTGCAGGAGTCCATGCTGATTGAAAAACAAATGTATTTGGGGATTGAATATGAGTAGGAGTGCATGTGCTTTGGCTTGTCGAAGGTAGCTTTAGTTTGTATGTTCCTACAAATAAATGAATGTCAAAAAATGATAACATGAATAAAACAAGTATTAGACATTTAAAAAAAAGGGAACTTACTTCTTTGAGGGGCAGAAAGAGAGGGTGAGGATTGGACTTGAGGAGCTGGTGGATGGTTAGTTGTGTGACCCCATGTATGAGAGACACTTTGCTGTGTATGATGTTTTGTCTCCTTCTTCTTATATGTCATTTTCTTCATCTTCAAATGGTCTACAAACAATTACATAAATAAAAATTAAACCACCTACATAAGATATAATAAAGAAGAAAACAAACAGAATAACTAAATTAAAATTAAAATTAAAACCTTGTTAATGGTATATTTCTTTCATCATCGGGAAATAATGTTTCTAAGTTTTGTTGTTGAAACGGTTCACATTCATGAAATTTGTCAACATCATCTTCACCCATGTTGTACAAGTCTCTAGGCTTTATATGTACAGGGATGCACCAATTTTTATCAAACTCATCATCTACATAATATACCATTTGTGCTTCTGATGCCTGAATGTATGGTTCATCATCATCATNTGCCTGAATGGATGGTTCATCATCATCATTATCACCGGTATGAATCAATGCGTCCAAAACATACACTTGTAAATCCTCAACTCATCAGTCACAATCCCCCTAGAAGTAGTTGATTAGCCCACACATTTGAAAAACACAACTGAGAAACGACCATGGTAGTTTATTTCAATTATGTCCAACTAATCTGACCATAATAAGGCAAACCCTCCAAATTGCATTGATTATCACTAGTTACTTGCATACTCCTGTTTCCAAATGTAACAAACACTCCACTATTTTTGTTTTAAGCAATAAGTCCGTCCAAGATCCTAAACTGAATCCGTGAACATTGTGGCATATATCGCTTTGCAATATCAATTGGACCATGGCAAGAATTTGAAATCGTTGAGTGAAATCACTAAACTTTGAGAACTAATCCAAGGAAAATCATTTACAATCGACTTTCCTTTTATGGGGAAAGTCAACTCACAATCCCTTAGATCAAGGGATTTATTTAACGAGCTAATTTCACAAGGTAGCTAATTATTAGTGATGATTTTGTTCACTTTTTATCTACATAAAATCATATTATAAACTCCTTGACCAACTACCAGTTTCATTCCAATTTCTTAACAACATTTGAAGAAGGACTTCAGATTTTAAGGACAAGAATATTTTAGGAGTATATTAAGGAAATAATACACAACATAAAGAATACAAGTATTTTAAAAAATGAGGACAAAGTCGGAATTTTTTGTATTACCACTTGAGATTTTTTTGCAGAATAGTCTCCAAATCTTGTAACCCAGCTAAAGGACTCCCTGATACACAAGACAGTGATGAATACAAAAATGGTGTTTATAATATTGATTATGAATTTTTAAGATCATCAAATAAATAGAATATATACAAGAATACACTACTAAAAAGAATGAAAATGATCTCCCAACAAAGTTGTTGTGCCAACAGAAAAATTCACAAAATATGTTAAAAAGTTCTAATGTTGATTGAACAAAGCAAAGAGAAAGAATTAAAAAATGAGTGAAGCTTTTTTGATTAAGATCAAGAACACCTAAGAGGGTGACATTAAATATGCATCCATATGCCAATTGATAATTCTAAAAATCGCCATTTCTTGTTCTTTTTCACGCTCTTCCTTTTTTCTGCTTTTATAATATTAATTATTACCAAATTAATATTCATCATACTTTCATTTTAGAAAAAAAGAAAGTGATTTATTATTAATTTACCATACTGTGTTGGTCGGAACCATCGTCCTCCCAAGTCAAGTCACAGGTTCCTAAAAAATTGGCCATGGATGATGATCATATTCTAAAAACATACATTTTCTTAATAAAAAAACACTTTTTACAAGGAACTAAAATATAATATTCAGGAAATGCATAAACTTAAAATATATTAAGTATAAAAATATTATCCAATCTAACCTAAAGTAACCACCCAAAAGAGTATACACTAAATAAGAAAAGGACAATATATGTGAAAAATGAAGCATTAAAGTATGTTGCAATTACAATTTTTAACTAACCAAAAAACACTTGTCAATACTTCGAGTAGATTAACTGCACATATTGTAATGCTGAATGGAATAAAATAGAAATAAAAAAGTATGCAATTATTAACTTCATTACTATATTATACAACGTTAAATGAATTCAACTCTTTCTGTTTAAAAATCTAAACATTTGAACAAATAGGAGTAGGCCGGTTAGATGTCTATTTTCTAATATACACAATTTTTAATTTAAAAGTACTGGAAACTAGGAATCTCTACCTCCAAGTTCTAACAATCTAAATCTTTTAGAAAATTAACCTCTGCTTCAACCAACAAGAAGATGATATACTTTTAAGATAAAATAAAATATTTCAAAACAAAGAATTCATAGATAAATTAATTCAAAAAATAGAAAAAAGAAAAATAGGTTAATATAATTGATTTAATGATGATGTAGTGTGTATTAAAGTGCTTACGCATCAATTTTTTAGAGTTATTTTTGTCAATTCAATTAAATCATCCATGTTCACACTAAGACACGTATAAGGTACTGCAAGCAAAAGAGTAATAACAGAAGAGAAAAATCTTATTTAGAGGGGAGCCGCCTCCTTGCAACAAAATTGAAACAAACTGAACATTCTATTCTGCATTTTTTATTCTATCCTAATCCTACTATTACATATAGCACAATCATGTGGGACAATTTCACGATAAGCAAAACAAAATTGCAATGAAATCCTTCTCACGCTTGAGGTAGTTTTGTTCTTATTACTCTCTGCAAAACTAAAATTGGTCATAGCCTTGAAAACAGTTGGGCTTAACACTATACGTTTGCATGCAGTTTGTGTGTGGTTCATGCTGCTTCCAGTTGGTCTAGTCAGCTCAAGGGCTTAAAGGGTCAGAGCTGGGCCATAATCATTCTATTACAGAAGTGAGTTATTTCTGAAAGCCTTAGTTGTTGTTCAAGGTTGTTAGTTGAGAGATTGTCTGGATTAGTTAGCTGTCGGTAACAGTTTTCACTTACTGTACAACAAACACTAGATGTAAGGTTCTATCGCTTATTTCACCAGATAAGAAAATGAAAAGCTTCATTAGAATTCTCAGATATTACTCTCCGCTTCTCATAATTCCCAGAGTTTTATTTTGGTGCTCACACTAGACTTTTTTAATTCTGTAGAAGGTTGAGTGCCTCATTAAATTATAATCCAAAATAGTAATAAACTCTGAATCTGAATGGTTGTCATACACAACACCCACCTAACTAACCACTCAGTATCCTAAACGTACCTTTGCTCTAAGTTAGAATGTAGGTTGTACCAAATATGATGCTGGTGGACACAGCATCATCAACATGTCCACTCCACTCCCATCTGATATGCTTCAACAGCACAGTAAAAGGCATGTTTCCCGCAAAGTGTGTGTGCGTTTCAGATCTCATGACTACATATCTTAAGTGAATGTAATTAATAAATTCTTCTCAATATAAGTTTTCTACTTAAAAGAAAATCTAATGCATGGAAGAGACAGAGAAGCTAACATTGACATGGAAGAAATTTTGACGATTCCATTGGAAGTAAATTGTGCCATTGGACAAAATTTATTAACAGTTCCAGGCAGATATACATGAATTGGCCAACATATATATGGAAGTATAGCTCACCCTTTCAAAACTTTTCTTTTATCGCAACTTTAAGCCTCCAACACTATTCTTCAGCTATACTGTGTGGATCAGGCTGTCCTCTTCTAGCGCGACCTCTAGGTCACATGCCGGGTGGATGTGGGGGGCAGTCGGAACAGTATTGCATAATCGAATACAAGAGGTTAACAACGCAGCAAAAATACAAGAGTTAGGGACAACAATCGAATCAATAACTGCGTTTTCATATAGACTTAAGGTACAGGAGCAAACGTTTGTAGAGTGAAAATGAACGAAGAGGAAAATTGAAGTGACCTGCCGCTTTCTAAGCCGCGTGAACATTAGGATGCGAGAATTCCAAGAGCAAATCTACAGTTCAAGTTCCGAGAGCACCCGACGAACATAAGGCGGCCACGCTTGCCTCGAAGCCAGCTCAACCCACAAATGCCTCCACACCTGCGACCTTTGCTCAGGCCCTAACAAGGGAGACAACACGACGATGGTGAAGAGAAGGAGCGGGAAGTAGAAGAAATGAGTGAAGGTAGAGGTAGAAGAATTAGGGGCTTGGGAGAAGAAGAAAAGAAAATTCGAGAATCAGGGAAAGGTAGAAGAAATGAAAGGCGCGGGGATACATAATCAGTCCTACTCATACTCATAATCAGTCCCCAAATTGAAAAAATGAAAGGCACCTTCATTAAAATTGAAGAAAATTAAAAAATTGAAAAAAATTAAAAAAGGGGGTAACTGCGGTTTAGTCAAAACCGCCGGAATTTATTCGGGGTTTCTAAAACCGCCGGAAACTAACCCCTCCTAAAATATATTATTTTTGTAGTGATGCAAGGTGGGTCAATCTACGGCTATTACTTCGTGCAACATAATATCCCTGCACCCTATTGATCTAGAAATCATTTTTTGGAAAACATTAAAACAAATATGAAATTGTTTTTGGATATATAATCATCCCACTTTTATTACAAATATAATTTTTCGGAGGCTTGGATGCACCACATAAATTTATAGTTCCTAATTTCTTAACTACTTTTGACGAAAACATTTCTCACTCTTTGCAGCCATTTCCAAACATTCAACAATATTTTTAAAGACTCAATTATAAGAAAAAAAGTGGATAAATTCCACAAGTAAAATCAAATTTAACGGTTGAGCGTAGATAAGACTACCATCCTACTACACAGATCTTTTAACTAATAGATTATATTTTCAGTAATTTTTATATTTTTTATATCAAGTTTAATAAAGAAAACTTTAAAGATTTTTTATTATGATTACTAAAACTTAAATAAACAAGGGTGGTTTTATTGAGTTGATGTGGGGGTGGTAATTACAGAAATAGTATATGATTGTGTGTTGTATTAAAGGTAGTTGTTAATTTGGGTTGTGAAACAGAAAATTAAACCTCGACTAAACTTAATAAAATCTCCTAGCTTCTTAATGTAGATAAAGTTGATTAATTGTGATCATTATTAATATGGAAGAGGAAGATACTTATATACCCTAAATTTGGAAGGTCCATTTCTAGAAGTGATGGAAGGCCCAAGAAGTACTAATTTTCAGGCAGCCATGGGACCTAGCTAGAAATATATTAATTAATTAATTTTGTATTTTATTGTTGATTTAAACACAATCATATTATATTGTGGAAGTGACCTCACTTGAGTTTGGAAGTAAGTGTTTAGTACATCGGAGCGCGTATAATTCCGAAAGTAATTATTTAATTGCTCTAATTCCTGCTTTCCTTGTTGCAGAATTTACAAGGGGATTTTGTTCTTTGAAAATTGATTAATATAAAATGAAAACAGAAGAAAAAAGTATTATGTTAAAGAAGAAAAAAGTATGTCAAAATCTGATTAAATGCAAACCAAAACCAACATGCATCCAACGAAACCCTCTTGATTAGGGTTACAAGCTGGGCGATTCACAAGTTAATTTCCTCTGATTGAGAATGAAGAGTGAAAAGGAGAACATACTAGTTCCACAAACCAGGATGTTTTCACACTTTCAGTAGTCAAAGCCCATAAAATAAGAAGACTTCCGATATATAAAGACTATTTTTCAACTAATGAAAGAATAGAACTTATAATATTGAAATTAAATTTATCATAATATATTATATATATATATATATATACATAAAATGTATAAAAATTCTCAACATGTAGTATGCTGTTTTACAGCTATAAATTTGACTCCACAATATTTAAACTTTATTAGCACATATTATACCGATCGATATAATAAAGATGGCATGCTTTTGTTACATGATTTAGGTGTATAGTTTTGTCATCAGTTTTAAAATTCTCATTTTACAAATCCAATAAATAAAAAAATTATTTTATACAAGAATCAGTTTTTTTCTGTCAGTTATTATCATAGTATTTCTTTCTCTGTTTAAAAAGAAAGTGTTTGTTTTTTAAGCACAATTTTATGTTATTTCTAGATAATTTTATCCCTTCTTTTGCATATATATAATTTTTTGTTATTTCTAGATAAGAAATTTTAGATTTCCACTTATTCCTCCTCTCTTCTTCCTAAGCACAATTTCAATTGTTTCATGCGACTAAAGAATAATCTAGATGCACGGAATTCATTAGTTTTTGTGTTATTACTATAAAAATTTATATTATAATTATTATAAGATACTGCAATCTATCCAAAACCTTTTAGTTGACTATTGATACGCGATTTTATTGAAATCTAATCCACTGGAAGCGAGGAAGAACATTCAACTAAGTGGTTGGGTAACGACCCCTTCGAACCAAGGAAGGTGGCTTCAAGTTTCCAATTATACGACAAAACTTGGGTAAGTTTCTAGCGATACTTCCCAAGAATCGATTCAATAATGCGCCACCATCTCCAATTGGTTGATATTCCTCATTCCAATGTACAATAATCCTTTCATTTTGAGGCAAATTCCAAACATCATTTGTTTTTAAGTGTTTGGTAGTCATCTTACATTGGTCATCTGTGAAGAAAGAAAATTTGTGTCAAATACTCTTATGTCAAACAACTTCAACAGTAACTATTCATATAAGTAACATAATGAAAGCATTAATATGTTGAACTTGTGTCTTACCAATAACATCAACCAACCATGCTTCCTTGTGTGTTGGTGGCCTTTCTTGTTCAACTTCCAACAAAGTATCCTAATTTTCATCTTATTCATGTTCATCTTGTACATGAGAATTTCCTCCTACTTGAGGTGGTGAATGAAGAGCATCTTCATTTGAGGGCTACACAAATGAAGATATATTAATTATAGTGGCCTACTTCTTTAAATTCGCATTTAAAATCAGTACATCAGATCAACATTGACTTAAACTTGTCCTATGTACAGTGAAGTTTGGATTCCAATGAATAAACTTTATATTAATTTTGTGAGGATTTAGTAGAAATAAACTTTATCTTGTTACCCTAATTCAGCCAAAAAAAAACATTCTTTTACAATTTCATAGTATGCAATCACGGAAGAGTATTTGTGAGGATTAACTCACTAAAAATGTTATTAAAGTTTTGAAATCATCTAATATTGTTGGATATATCAAGATTGTCTAATGGTTTAAGTGTTTTATCTTGACTAGTGCGTCTCACTTTTAGAGTGACTAATGATATCAATTTGTCTCTATTGTATTTACTCTATTGTAGATAATGTCTTCATCCCACATCTACTAAGAATATCTTGTAAAGTTCATTTTTACATCACGATCTCTTAAAAATGTTATGGAGTGAGGATTTAAATTTTGAAGTTCTTTTAGAAGTGAGAAAAGAAGAGTGGTGGAAATGAATGGCTTCCATCCTCTGACATCCCCTAAAGTTTATAAACTGATATTTGTATAGTGAAGCTACCAATAATTACTATTTATATACTTTGCCCTCACACTCCTTTCTTTCCTCACAATCCTATTTTGCTTAGTTGTCTTCTGTCATTCTAATTATTTTATCCTTTTCTGTTTACAGTTTTATTAAAAATTATTTCTTTTCTACTGTAAGAGGAATCTTTGTATTAATTCATTTAATAACTTCACACAAATTAACAAAGTTAAAAGGGAAATATCATTTAATAATAACACTAGAAGGAAAATAAATTGGCAACATGTTTAATACAGTTTTGGAAGAACATAAGCAAACAAAAGATGAGGAAACATACATAGTGATGAAAAGGGAACAATAAATTAATTATTGAAGGAAACAAAACACTTACATTAACTTGAACTGATGACTAAAAAAATGCATCTGGGGACTGAATAGGTGCAGGAGTCCATGCTGATTGAAAAACAAATGTATTTGGGGATTGAATATGAGTAGGAGTGCATGTGCTTTGGCTTGTGGAAGGTATCTTTTGTTTGTATGTTCCTACAAATAAATGAATGTCAAAAAATGATAACAACATGAATAAAACAAGTATTAGACATTTAACAAAAGGGAACTTACTTCTTTGAAGGGCAGAAAGAGAGGGAGAGGATTGGACTTGAGGAGCTGGTGGATGATTAGTTGTGTGACCCATGTATGAGAGGCACTTTGCTCTATATGATGTTTTATCTCCTTCTTCTTAAATGTCATTTTCTTCATCTTCAAGTGGTTTACAAACAATTACATAAATAAAAATTAAACCACTTATATAAGATATAATAAAGAAGAAAATAAATAGAATAACTAAATTAAAATTAAAATTAAAACCTTGTTAATGGTATATTTCTTTCATCATCGGGAAATAATGTTTCTAAGTTTTGTTGTTGAAATGGTTCACATTCATGAAAGTTTTCAACATCATCTTCACCCATGTTGTACAAGTCTCTAGGCTTTATATGTACAGGGAGGCACCAATTTTTATCAAACTCATCATCTATATAATATACCATTTATGCTTCTGATGCCTGAATGTATGGTTCATCATCATCATTATCACCGATATGAATCAAGCGTCCAAAACATACACTTGTAAATCCCAACTCATCAGTCACAATCCCCCTAGAAGTAGTCGTATTATCCCACATACATTTGAACAACACAACTGAGAAACGACCATGGTAGTTTATTTCAATTATGTCCACTAATCGACCATAATAAGGCACACCTCCAAATTGCATTTGACTATCACTAGTACTTGCATAAATCCTTGTCCCAAATGTACCAAACACTCCACTATTTTGTGTTTTAAGCCATATGTCACGCTCCAAGATCCTAAACTTGAATTCGTTAACATTGTAGGCATTATATCGCTTTGCAATATCAATTGGACTCATGGCTAAGAATTTGAAATCAGTTGAGTGAAGGCTAGTTGAGTCATTCCTTATCTAAAAGGAAAAATAAAATAACATGTCCAAGTCAATTATTAATTATAACATAGAATGAAACCAGTCAGCAATGGACCCAATATACGTACACGACGTGAAAACCAATCTACAAATTCCGTATGAACTTTCTTGTCTATCAAAGATGGTTGTCGACTCTGATTTCTCAATTGTCTCCGTATAGTGTCTCTAAATTCCCTACACAAAGTGTCCAAATTATACATAGTTACTTTCTAATAAAAGACTTATTAATACAATTAATCAAGTGAAAATACTTACTGAAGAAATGGGTCAACTATGGCACTGTTTGTTAGGATATGACGATGTGTCTGTACCTTTTCCTTTTTAGATAAAGTGAAATAAGTGAAACCTCCAACTGCTTTTCCGATCGATGGGAATAAAGTGCTTACAGTACAAGAGGCAATGCTCGGTTCATCATTAACACGACGCAATCTATTGAACACAATCTCAATTCCATCTAAGTATCTAGAACAAAAAGTTAAGCACTCTTAAGCCATGTACCCTTCAGCTATTGAGCCTTCAGCTTGTGCCTTATTACACACATAAGACTTCAATTTTCCCAAGTACCTCTCAATAGGATACATCCATGATATTGGACAGGTCCTCCACGCTTGACATCTTCAACTAAATGCACAATCAAATGAACCATCACTGTGAAAAAAGGAGGGAATAACATCTCCATGTGACATAATGTGAGGACAACTCTATCTTGTAATTGGACAAGTTGATCTATCTTCAAAACTTTATTACATAATTGTTTAAAAAAAGAGCATAGATCAATCAAAATAGAGGACACTTCTTTAGGGAGTGTCTTTCTTATTGCTAAAGGGAGAAGTTGCTCCATCAACACATCTGAGTCATGACTTTTTAGTCCTTCAATCTTACGTTGTTTGACATCAACACATCTATTGATGTTACTTGAGTAACCATCAGGTACAATTATATTCTTCAAAGTTTTTAGAAATATATCCTTATTTACATTTGACAATGTATATATAGCAGGAAGATATCTATCATTCTCATCAGGCCACAGATCTGGTCTAATACCCCAAAGTTGTAAGTCCTTTCTTGCCTTTAGATTGTCATTGCATTTATTATTTGTACTATCATTCAACAATGTAAACAATAAATTGTCACAAACATTTTTTTCAATGTGCATAACATCCAGATTGTGGTGTAATAAGTTATCTACCCAATAAGGAAGGTCAAAAAATATACTTTTCTTTCGCCATTGTAGAGTATCTACCTTATGAGGATCAACTATGCATTGTCTTTTTGACCTTTCTTCAACTATAGGTTCTTTCCCAAATTCAACGTGAACATTCCCAAGTTGTTGTAGGATATCATGTCCTGAGATTGCCATTGGTTGGCTTCTATTTTCAATAGTTCCATCAAACCTGCTATGAGCCAATCTAAACTTATGTCTTCCATCTAACCACTGACGATGACTTATAAAACAAAATTTCCCACCTTTGACAAGCTTCTTAGGAGTAGTGTCAAAATTACATCTCGGGCATGCCAATCCTGTATGTGTGTTCCACCCAGATAAGGTTCCAAGTCTTGGAAAGTCACTAATAGTCCACAATATGGTTGTAAGCATATCAAATACTTTATTCCCATATGAATCAAAAGTTTTAATGCCAGTGTTCCACAACTCCTTCAACTCTTCTATTAATGGTTGTAAGTAAACATCAATATCATTGCCCAGTGCTCGTTTTCCAGGAATGATCATGGATAGAATGAATGAACTTTGTTTCATACACATCCAAGGAGGAAGGTTGTACGGTATGAGAACAACTGGCCAAATACTGTGATTGGTGCTCAAGTTCCCATATGGATTGAACCCATTGTTGAGAGGGTCGCACCTCACACAAAAGTTGATTGCAAGAAATAATGCAGTATAAACTAGGAAGTGACTCCTAGGTCGTCTCTCAAGGACCAAATGTGGTTCGAGTCTCAGGTCAAACACGTAGTGGGGGTTTTTTTTTGAAAGGTTTGTTTTTGTTTGCGGAAGAACTTAAATTAAAATTAGAAATTAAATACATCCAAACGTAATTGAAAACACTGAATTAAATGAACAAAGCATATAGACCGAATGATCCTACAGATGACCGAACGTTTATACATTGAGATCGAACGGTCTCTAAAGCAAGTGCTGAAATTGGAAATGCAGAAAAATAAAGAAACTGAACGGAATAGACAACAAAGTGAACAAAAACAATAACTGAATTATACTAAAGCAAGGTGTCGGAAAGAAACACTTAAACTCTTGGCTAATAAGGAAATGCACATTAATGTTGTGGAGATGCAACACGCCAATAGAAACACCACGCAGCTGAAATCAAACATTCAATGCAAAAAGGCGGGAGTAAAATAAAAAAAAATGCAACAAGTAAACCAAGCATTTAAATGCAATTCACAACGGAAATAGCACTAAGAAGAAACAATAACAGTAAAGGGAACAAGTCAGCTGCTTTGCATTCTAATGTATAAAGTAATAAAACCAATGAAAGTGACAAAGGTTGGAAGCGTGACCACTTTTCTCCATAACAACAAAATGAACCACCGAGAGTTGTTACAATCAATAATTGCTTTCTCTTCTTTAAAAGGCCAAATGACACCGTGTGTGGCCTTTTTCTCTCTCACTGGCCGTCACACCCTTGCTAAATAAAATCAGCCATATATCTCCTAAAGAAAGAAAAGAAAAACAAATTCCCTAGTGCTCTCCCTTTTGGTCGTGAGAGTGTGCTCTCTTTTCAACAATAAATAAAAACTCTTTTCAATGGCAAACAGTAAAGAAATATGCAGCACTTCAAAACAAATGGAAAGAGAAATGAATCACCACCACTGTGCTTCTCTTCTCCCCAGGAAAAATGAATGTGATAAAAGATGTCTTTGTGTGTGGCAGCTGGCGCACGCCCCTTCACACATCCAGCACCCTTTTTCATCTAATTGAAGTGTACTTTCAGCATGCAAAGAGTAAATATCACTTCCAAAATCAATCAAATGCTTTCCTCTGCTACCCGTAGCCCTCCATGTGTGCTTTTCTTTCTCCAGCTCCCCTCTAGGTCGCCTCCTTTTTTCCAGCTCTCCCCTCTTTTTAAGCTAAAGAAAATCCTCCAACTTAGGTGGCGGCTGGACCATCCTCTACGTGCTGGACCTCCTTCCGCGCTACATCCCTTGCTGGACCGTGGTATCTTTAGGCTGCTGGATCTCCGAATGAAGGCCACTTCCTTTTTTTGAACCAGCTGTTGTCCACGTGTGATTACTTGAATGGTGCAGGCCGTGTGCTGCTGGACTTGTGGACGTGGCAGCTGCTGGACGCTTCTTCATACACCTCCAAACTGTTAGGCCTACTGCTTGCTGGACCGTGGAAGAAGGTGTGGGCTGTGTTGCTGCTGTCCATTGAAGCCTCCCTCTTTGTGCCAAGCTCCAATATTTTAAAAGAAAGAAAACATGGTGCTCAGCCCAAATAATCATTCCATAAAATTTTGTCCCCTAGCACTATTGACTTCCTTCAATTAATTAATCACCACAAGAATACACCTCCTGGACGTACCAAAAGTAAGCAAAGGGCCCTCCATTCTCATCATGTGCATTGCTCCTAAATGAAAATAACTCTTCCTATTCTAAAAGCAAGCCATCATTTTCCCCTGCTTTTTGAATCAAGGTCCCCCTTTCCAAGCCAAATATCACCCCGTGCAGCTGCTTCCAAATAATCTGCTTGCTTCTCTTTTCCTCTCTTCGCAGCCATGCCCATGACCGAGAGCTCATGCTCTCCTTCGTTGCTGGATGCTTCCTGGATGCTTAACCAACTTCTTCTGTTTTCTTTTTCCTAACGTTGGGACGTGACAATGTTCTGCTGCTGCTGGAACGTGATTCATCAGCTCTTTTCCTTCCAGCCAGCACTTTTTGTGTGAGCTTCTTTTCAGTTCTGGATGGATTGTCCCTGTACGTGTGCTCCTTCCTCAAAGTGAATATAAAATAATATAACATGTGGCAAGC